AAGAAGCATTTTTCTCTTCGTTTCATTGAAAATTCCAATATTTTAGCTATGTTTAAAACTTTTGAGTCTTCTGTAAATTGAATGCAGCTCAATGAAAGAAGGTCGTAGAAAGATAGAAAATGTTTCATCTTGCTCAAAATTATTTGTTCTATCAAATCAAATCTTTCCCCAATAGGTTCGAATGTAGGTCAGAAAGCTAATTTTGAGAACTTTAGTTTTTTGCCGGCCCTTATCGAAGTAGTTTCGCTGAAGTCTTCGAACCCTACCAATCCTAGTAGAGAGTCTTTTCAGCTATACAAATGTTTTTCTCCAGATTCTTGCTAGCTATTATTATTGAGAAGAAAATTTAAAAATATAATTGCTATAAACTTTTTGTTCACCACTATATATAAATATATCGGCATATTTTTCTGTCTGAACTAAATTTCAGATTAAAAAAAAGAACAAAATTTCTCAATGACGACGTTAATTAAATTAATCTGTAAAAATTTGAATGAAATTTGATTCGAAAAGAAGAAAAACAAAAGAAAATTAAAGAATGCATCTAACTCGGTTATTACGTACACAACAAGCTTCTTTAAAGCATCTTATTGATTATTATGCTAAATATCCACCAACCGGTTTAACAATGAAAAAAATTGTTGAATTTGGTGTGTTTAATTTTGTTGTCTTTTTTTTATTTGAATTTTATATATTTGTTTGTTTTTTAATAAATAGCGCGTGAAGGAGATGCAAAACAATCATATTTATTTCTTCGAAATGAATTACCTGTTCGACTTGCATCAATGATGAAAGAAATGGGACATTTACCACCACGTCTTCTTGAAATGCCAAGTGTTAAAACAGTTAATGGTTGGTATGGAACTAGTTTACATGAATTAGATTCATTTAGACATGCACCAACAACTAATGAAACTGTTAAAAAGTAAAAAAAAAGAAAACTTTTTTTGATTGCATATGTCGGTTTTAAAATTTGTAGATTTACAGAAGTTTTACAAAATATACGCAAAAGACATACGACTGTTATTGAAACAGTAGCACAAGTAACAGCTTTTTAAATGTTTTTATTCGATGATGATTTGTTTTTTTTTGTTTCTTGTCTACTAGGGTTATATGGAATTTTCTGAGTTGGGTCACGCTAAAGAATATGAAGAATCACAAATACAATATTTTCTTAATCGATTTTATTTATCTCGAATATCAATTCGATTACTTATTTATCAACATAGTATGTTTAATTCAAAAACAAAAAAAAAATTTAGTTTTTATAATATCAAAAATTTTAAAGTATAGAATCTGTCAATATTAGCTGATATATTATTTTTTCTATTATTAATTTCTATTAGTTCTATGCGAGAACTACCAAAACTGTTGTCTACTGTTTGAGTTCATATTGGGCTCTAAAAGAGATCTCGGCAGAACAAGAAAAGTTCTAAAAGAGTTCATACCTATTTGAGTTTTCGATCTAGTTTTAGGTATTTACGGAAAAATCAAATATTGATATTTCGATCTGATGACTCTGGAAATATTCTGAAAGTTTCAGTCGCAAAAGAGTGTTTTATTGTCGAAATATTGAATTTTCAAAAAAGGGTCATTTGTCACAAAAATCGAGTTTACTTGAAAATTCAATATCCGGACAAAGGCACATTGTTTTTGGCTGAAACTTTTAGAATATTCCTTAAGTTATCAGATATCAATAGGTGAAATTTCAAGTCAAAATGTTATTATTAGATTTTCCAATAAATATCTAAAGCTGAATCGACGATTCAGTAAAACATTCATATCGTAGTTCGAGAGATTCATAGGCACGAACCCTTTTAGGACTTTTCTATTCTTACCAAAATCTTCTTGTAAATCCAATTTAAGCGCAAACAATGGGTACCAGTTCGAGTAGCTTCCTCATTCATTTTATAGTGAGAAAAATCTAACAATTTGAGATTTATGTGAGATTAACTTTCTATGAATTTACACTTTTCTCTAACAATTAAAATTCCATGCAGATAAAAATTTATAGAACTGAACCGATATTAGAGCCGATCGGGTTTGGCATCAACAAAACAGATAGTACTCTAAACGTATCAGCTAATTATGACTTGATTACTATAAAATCATTGTCAAGATTGTCTGAGAAATGTGTAGAAGTTGGCTCACATCTCTTGTTTTTTTTTCTTTCAAAATAATAATAGTAAGAGGAATATATCCATAGAATAAAATGTGTTTAGTTGGAAGACATGAATAAATAATTTTTACAAGCCAAAAAAAAAATGATTTATGTTTTACAACAGTATAATATTTCTGAAAGGAAAATATTTTGTATTTTGTATAATTTATTTCATTTCTTTAAATTAGCAATGTGTTTTGGTGATGAAGTACCTTTACATCCTACGCATCTTGGTTTTGTTGATCCTAGTTGTTTGGTTGAAGACATAATCAAAGGTAATATTAATTAAATAAACAATCAGTGGCGTACGCAGGGGATGACCGAGGAGGCCCGGGCCTCCCCCTTGAAGAAAAGTTCCCTGTGGAGGAGTACGGGTAAAAAAAGTACTACGGTACAAATTTTTGAAAAACTTCATTACGGGCCCCCTCCTTGAGAACTTGAGCTCCTCCCTTGGAAAATTTCTGCGTACGACACTGTAAACAATAAAAATTTCTATTGAAATTTTATTTATTTTAGATGCATTTGAAAATGCTCAATTTTTATGTGAAGGTTATTATTTACAAGCACCTCCATTAGAACTTCGTAGAACAAATGGTAATTATTTTGATAGTTTAAATTAGATTCTTCATTTTTATTTTTTTTTATTTGTAGCAATAAATCCCGACGAACCAATTGCAATAGCTTATGTACCATCACATCTATATCATATTATGTTTGAATTATTTAAAGTTAGTTCAAAGAAAAAACAAAGGATTCTTTTTCGAAAAAGATAATTTATTTTATTATAGAATTCAATGCGTGCAACTATAGAACATTTAGAAAGTACAAAATCTAGTAGTGTATTACCTCCAGTTGTGGTTCGTTTTTTTTAGGAAATAATTTAAATTGATTTATTAAAATTAACATATAGGTTGATGTTGTAAAAGCAAAAGAAGATTTAACGATTCGTATTAGGTAATAAGAATGTGATAATTGTCATCTTTGTATGATCATCATTAAATAGTGATCGTGGTGGTGGTATTCCACGTTCAAAGGCAGATAAAATCTTTCGATATATGTATTCAACTGCACCAAGACCTGTATCATTAACTGATGCTCAACATTCAGGTCCAACACCACTTGCTGGTTTTGGTTATGGTCTTCCCATTGTAAGCTTTACAGTACTGATAAAAAAAAACAATATATATGATCAATGTATTTTTGATTGCTTTTTGTTCTACAATACCAAGCATTTAACTCAAATCCAAACAGTGATTTGAAGAGCTAATGAAGTTCGCTATCAAATGCATACCATACCGAAATTTCATAGATGAACTAAGAAGAATAATCTTGCCTTTTGGCTACCTTGTGGTATGAGATTCTGTTTAGCGGCAGATTTAATATTTTCGGATATCGTTCCTACAATTAATAGTAGCTGTAGCTATCGACAGAAGGTCGGTCTGACGTATAATTTTTGCGCTGAATTGCTTGAACTTATCATACACATTTACTAACTACATACTAGTCATAAGAGTAGGTATATTAGATGGACTATGATAGGCAGATTTTTGAAAAATCAAACATGATACTTTTCAAATCTCAGAAGACTTTACATAAAATTAATTTTTAAAGAGTACCACCTTAAAAAGCATAAAATCTTGAGGAAAATAATGTATTGCCACTTCTTCTACGACCTCCCTTTAAAAAGTTGTAAATAT